AAAAAAAAAAAAAAAAAAAAGCGACAAGCACATTCTATACATCATCTCCCATCCAGCACCAACAGCAGCCTGTTACTATCTCCATGGGTCAGAAATATTAATGGCGGGACACAGAAAGTAAATGGCCCATGCAGACCACAGTGGGTTACAGACTCCTTGGGGCAGGGTCCTCACCTTCTACTGCATCTGCTCAGGAGGAAGGCTGTGGGTGGCCTTGTTGGCCAAGATGCCCCTCAATTCCCCATTGGGTAGGTGAGTGGGATTTGCAGTAGCTCTGTTATCTTGCTCTGCAATCTGCAAGGTTTCTGTTTTAAAAAAAATAGACTTCCGGGTCCTATTTCTCCCCAGCCCTAAATGGCTCCAGTCCTTTCCATAAATAATCTCCTCCTGGCCTGCCATGGAACAGCAGAACATTTTTAAGGAGCGATGACATCCCTGATCTCACCCTGAGTCAGGTTATCGAAGGGTGTCCCCAGCCTGGCCAGATGGAGCTGGGGGTCTGATGCCAGCCTAGCCTCTCTTAGGGCTACCAGAGATGAAAGGGTGGAGCTGAGACCAGCCTTACAAGGCTCTTCGGGGACTAGAAGGGGTGTTCTCCTTTATATTTATTAATATTTAGGATCTTATTAGGACAGTGGCTAGTGTTATAGGGAGGCTCCTCCAGGTGCTGAGTTCCAAGTGAAGTGACTTACAAATGTAAGCTGATGTGAAATAGCATAATATATGATGGCATCAAACACAACCTGGAGCTTTAAATTTAACCTGGAGGGGTTCTGCTCCCCTGTCCCATTCCAGAGGTTCAGGTCTTTTCAGCTCAGTCTTAGGAACGAGCAGGGTCCTGTGCTAGTGTCATCTGCAACTTAGACATCACAGTGGCCAGTCACGAATGGTGATCCCAACTGACATGGAGCGTGAACTAAGGGATGCATACTCCCCCGGGTCCGGGTCAGGCTAGGATCCCGAGGTGGAGGGGCTGGACCAGAAGTAGACGGGTGACTCTCCATTTCTCTTTCCTCTT